ACCGGAGGGGACTATAGGTTTCCTCTGAGTCTGTCCGTCCGTCTGTCTGTCTGTCTGTCCGTCTGTCCCTCTGTCTGTCTGTCAGTCTGTCCCACTTGGTTTTCCGCACTTTTCTTCTAAACGCTTGCAGATATTGAGCTGATTTTTGGTATGTAAGTGTATCTTGATGAGTTACAGATCAAGTTTGCATTTCGTTCCGCTTCATTGATTTTTGAGGGAATTACGGCCTTTTCAATTTTTAAGGGTTTTCCGCAATTTTCTTCTAAACGCTTTCAGATATTGAGCTGATTTTTGGTATGTGACTTTACCTTGATTAGTTATAGATCAAGTTTGCATTTCGTCCCGCTTCATTGATTTTTGACGGAATTATGGCATTTTCAATTTTGTCCCCTACCGGTGGAACCGGAGGGGACTATAGGTTTCCTCTGAGTCTGTCCGTCCGTCTGTCTGTCTGTCTGTCTGTCCGTCTGTCCCTCTGTCTGTCTGTCAGTCTGTCCCACTTGGTTTTCCGCACTTTTCTTCTAAACGCTTGCAGATATTGAGCTGATTTTTGGTATGTAAGTGTATCTTGATGAGTTACAGATCAAGTTTGCATTTCGTTCCGCTTCATTGATTTTTGAGGGAATTACGGCCTTTTCAATTTTTAAGGGTTTTCCGCAATTTTCTTCTAAACGCTTTCAGATATTGAGCTGATTTTTGGTATGTGACTTTACCTTGATTAGTTATAGATCAAGTTTGCATTTCGTCCCGCTTCATTGATTTTTGACGGAATTATGGCATTTTCAATTTTTAACGGGAACCAGATTACACTTGCCGGTAGGGGACTAGTATTGCTAATGCAATACTCTCAGAATGCTTGTTACTTTTAATAATTAATCGATTCAGCAAATTAAACCAATGGTTCGGATGTTTTATGGTGGTTAGAGCGCTATAGCTCACCTACCTATTTTAAAAGATAAACTTGTCTTGCTTTGCAGTGCAGTTAACTGCCAAAACTTAAATACATGTATATTCATATTTTACACAAATCTTTTGCTTAATGATACAAATATCTTAAAAGAAACACATGATTGTGACTCATTATGTAACTTTAACTTTTATCAATTATGTCGTCATAATTTGTCAAACATAGATAATATATTGTAAATGTACAGGGGAAAAACCCCTCAAATTCTAGCCTAAAATCAACATATTTTTGGCAATATCTCAAAATCAACAACAATTTTACATTGACCTCCACTTTTCATTTTTTTCCCCTGAAAATATATTATTTACCAGTTTGATGTAAAATCACTAGAATTTTAGTAATAAGACTTTTAAATAATTTCATTGCTTGTTAAATATTTTTTTTAAAAAAATCGCATTTTACGAGTGCAAAAAGGTCGTATACTTGATTATGCGCAATAATTTGGGGTTTTTGGTTAAAAATTGTCAATGTATCTACATGTACTCTACAAATTATAAGACTGTGTTTGGTTTCTTGAGTCATTCAGATAAAAAAGTATAAGAAAAAATGTGCTGAAAAAGTGAGTAATGTACAAGTTGCTATTGTAGTGCAAAAAGGTCATATTAAATAGGCCTGTATACCGTAGCGCCGAAAGACGCATATTGACTGCTATTTTTTTCTTTGATTTTTGATAAAGTTATGTATGTAGATATTAAAAATATACTTTACAAAAAATTCTTGCCACTTTTGATGGCAGGGTCCACTTCCTTAAATCATATTTAAACATTTTTGAGGACCTTTGGATAATAGGTAATTGGTGTGAATGAAAACAAAAAATACTTCAGAAAATTATCTGCCTGCAGTTCTAATGGAAATTGGAAACATTGCTAATAATGCCCCAGGACACTAGAAAAATATGTATGTCAGATTTAGTGACTGTGAGCAGTAGCAATAATTCAACCAATCAGAGTCAGTGAATCATTTTTGAATCAACGACCAAATTTTCAAATCCCTCAAGCAACATTTAACTAGGCTTGATCACTAGACGTAGATAATATGAAAAATTGACTCTGGAATATGTACTATGTAATTCGTTCAGACAGTTTGGCACAATTTTACCGGAAAAGCCTATAATTTAGACCTTTTCTATAAGTTAAAAAATCCTACACAAATGCGATGTACATATAATTATAATAAAGTTAACCAAATGAAAACAACGAAAAACAAGAGACCCATGGGTCACATCGCTCACCTAGCACATTGGCCAGGAAAAAAAGCAGAAAGTTCAGTATTAAAAAGATTAAATATATACATGTGGTCCCAAATAACCCCCGGGGGCATGATTTCTTCAAACTTGAAACTATACACTAACTGAAGATGCTTCAATATTTCTTTGACTAATCATGGTTTTAGAAGATTTTTCAAGATTTATTCCTATGCGTTTGATCTTCTATTGTGGCCCCGCATATCCCCTAGGATATGATTTGAACAAACTTTAATCTACACCATTTGAGAATGTTTCTGAAATAACATGACTAATCGTGGCTTTGCTGTTCTTGAGAAGAAGATTTTCATTGATTCACCTGTTGTGTCCCCCCTTTACTCCCTGGGGCCATGATTAGAACACATTTGATTCTACATTACTTGAGGATACTTCTGTATTTAACATGACTAATCATGGCTTTGTTGTTCTTGAGAAAAGATTTTTATTGATTTTTTCCCTATACATTCCTATGTATAATTTTGATCACCAATTGTGGCCCCACCTTACCACTGTGGTTCATGATTTGAACAAACCTGAATTAACATTACCTGGGATACTTTCACATAAGTTCCATATTTTCTGGTCGCCCGCATGGCGCACAATGGTTAGAGCTTCTGCTCTAGAGTCGCGGAGTAAGGAGCTAATCCTAAGGTCGCAGGTTCAAATCAACTGCGGGACGTGGAGACCGGTCCTTCGTATGAGACATTATAAATAGAGGTCCCGTGTCGTAGTAGATGTTGGCACAAAAAAGATCCCTCACTGCACAATGACCCTAAGTGTCGAGTATAGCCCTCCACCGGCAAGTGGTGATGTCTCTGTATGACTGAAAAGTTCTCGAGAGGGACGTTTAACAACAAGCATATTTTCTGACCCAGTGGTTTTTGAGAAGAAGATTTTTAAAAGATGCCATCAGTTTTTCAGTAATTCATAATTAACTCCCCTTTGAAAAATAACATGCCCCTTCATCTGAACAAATTTGAATCCCGTTTACCCAAGAATACTTCGTGGCTAGTTTGGTTGAAATTAGCCTTGTTGTTCTTGAGAAGAAGTCGAAAATGTGAAAAGTTTAAATAAGGACGCCGAACAAAATGTGATCAGAAAAGCTCACTTGAGCCTTCGGCTCAGGTGAGCTAAAAAAAGGGGAATTCTTTGATCATAAAAACACATGACAACACAACCCTAAAGAAACAAATTTCACCATTGGGTGTACAAGTACGTGTGGTGCTCAGATCTCTCAATCCATGAAGTGCAACTAAAGTTGATGTATTAATATGGAGCAGAATGCCAGAAATTGATTCTTGAATATCTATTGAATAATCCTCTATTTAATAGTGTTACGCAAAACAATTTTGTTATCATGCATAATTTTTATTATCAGAAGGAAATGTGTGGAAAATTCTGGATAAGAAGCAGTTAGGTAACGTTTAAAAGATGTTTCGTGTTTCATTCAAATGAAGTCTAATTTTTCCTCCGGGAAATAATATGTGTTGTTGTTGTACTATGGATTGATGAATGCATTCAGGCAGTGCAGCTGTACTGAACAGCGAGTATACGAATATTCATTCAATTACATCGATTGTATTTCCGATAGAATGTTTTTAAGGAAGCTGTAAACACTGATGAAAAATGTTTTTCGGACTTTGAGAAAATTACACGTATATCACATAGGTATACATACTGAGTTTATATAGTACAATTTCAACATAGGGCACCTGCCATATTCCTCCAGAAAAAGTGTTCAAAGACAATGAAGTATTAGTGAACAGGAATCACTGTAGTATACTAAACAACATCGTCGCAAACCACGGCCAAAATGTAAGATCCTCTCCCATTCTGGCCGTGTAGGAGAGAGCTATATGCTGACTCCGGACCGTGGCTTGAGACGATGTAGGAGAGAGCTATACATATGCGGACTCCGTACCGTGGCTTGAGACGATGACTAAACAACCGTTCCTACAATATTTAAATTCATACCGCCGAAATATGGCTGAAATAATGCCGACTCGGCGTAAAACAACAATAATCAATCAATCAGTATACTAAACTGGGAAAATAGATGCAAGTAATGTTTTCAATTTATACTTTATCTTGGCCTAATGTAATGTTAAAAATACTTTTATCTATATCAGATTGTGTCATTACTGAAGATTTCCTTTTTTCCTCATCAAAGGGCAGATCACTCTAACTGCATAAAACTACCATAGAATTAGCACTCTATAATGAGCAGTGTTTATAGAGCTTCCTTAAAAATTAAAATAAATAAATAAATCTTGTCATCCATTAATCAACAGAATTAGTGAAAAATTTGAAATTTTGAGTGTACCGAGTAGAGGTGAATGCAAAATTTACAACATCATAACTTTTTGCCTCCACTCAGTAAATTCAAAATTCTCCACGTGATAAACATATGATGTACAATGTATGTAAAAACGTAACTGACCACGACTTCCTTATTTTTTTTACTATGGCCCAGAGAAAGAAGACTGGGATACATGGATAATGCTCTCAGATTCTGTATTCACGCTGTTTTCAAGTTTAACTTTTGCAAAAAATTATTTAAGTCAGTGCTCTAAAAATGCAGAATAGATCAAGTCTGGTCAAAAACACGTTGAACACGTCGAAACAGGAAACTGTAAATGTTTATTGTAATCACCTTCCTGTCTCTTCTTGGACTATTTTCATGCAGAATGATTTCAGCAAAAGACGAATTTTTTTCTTTAGTACGAATATTCTTTTGGATTTCCATTTCTTACACATCCCGATATATGGCCATATTTATTTTTTTTTCAGAGTGAAGAGCACATGAACAGACTGGATCGAGAAATCCGAGAGCTGGAGCGAGTTGGCAAAAAAGCAGACAGAGGAACTATCTACTGCGCATGCGGAGTTTTGGGACTTGTGATAGGACTGATTTTAGTCTTTGTTTACCTTCTGTGATGTAAATTCTAACCTTGTTATGTTTGAATGTTGGAGCTTTGGAAAGACTTTATTAATTTAAAAACCGTTGATTTCCATTTTAATTAAAACTTGTTTCATACATTTGATTTTTTTAAATACTTTTTTTATATTTTGAGGGTAAGCTGTGACTAATTTGATTGGGGCAGGCTTTTCAATGGAATTTGTTTTCCATGTTTAAAGAGAATCAAAAAAAGAAAAAAAAGAAAAAAAAGAACACAGTTTGATTTCATATAATGTATTTACTCTTTTTTTCTAGATCTAACACGTACATGTACCTTGTTCAGAAAATAAATGAAAAGCTCGAATACATCGGAATAATCTAAAACAAACTACAAAGAGGACACGTATCCATAAATTTTTATCTATTCCTTAATGAGAACCATTTCTTTCATTGTAACCGGAGACTTAATATGTCTGGCACAATTATTTATCAGACGATTTAAATTACGCAAACTTAGACAGAGAGAGTTTAGCTGGATAAAAAAAAAATTCTCTTTCGACTTGAAAAAGTAAACATTTCTTTTATTATACTCAGAACGTTTTCCCCCTTGAAATGGCATTTATTGTGACAACGAAAAGAAATTGGCCAATCTGAGCTAAATCTGATTTTTTTTGTTGGCGAGGACGGAAGAGCGAGTAAGCGTCATGTAACATGAATGTGACTTTTCTCCATCTTATGATTAATTGAATTATCAGCTGGACAGCTCATCGCTGAAATATGTTCATCCTCATTTCGGACTGCTTGCAGTATATTGACAAATAGTGAGATTTTCAATCATTATTTTCCACGGTATCTTTGATTGAAACAGAGTCCCAGAGCAGCCGTCAATGCTTTGCTGATTTATAATCTCAAATCCGGGAAAAAGACCTCAATTAAGGAACCGGTCTTCAGGCAGTGCTGGACTGACATTTCACTGCTTCTGTATCTGACAGTTAAGACTTCTATTTGAAAACTCTGGTCTGTCAATCTGTAGTGGTCACTTATTATTAAGTCAAAAGCAAACTACTTTCCGTCAATTACATATACGTGATTTGGGTGCGCTTTCAATGACAAAAACAGTCTTCGTTCTACGAAACTGCATTAAAAGTGCAGATCGTAAATGCACTTTTGGAGTAAATGCATTTAGTGGCATGTGTACAGCGCAAAACAAACCGTTAATGGTAATTATAAGTTGTATAGTGTTCTGCAAAATGGCCCGATTATGTGATGCATGCTTATCTACGCAAAAGAAGTAACAGACAGACGGACGGAACGACAGACTCTGTCTGCTTGAAAGCGAACATGATTCATGTCTCATAATTTTAATGAACTCTTGTAATTGAATTAAAAACTGTTAGACGTAGAAAAGTTTGAAATGAAATTTCGTATAATATCTAAAACTGTGGCCTCAATACTAGTAGGATTTTGGTACGCTTTGGAACGTACAAGAAAATACCACACATAAATTCAACGTTCTTTAACGTACAATCAATTACATACAATTCATTGTTTATTTTAATAATGTTTTGGACATATGCTGAAACCTTCCTTTGGGTAATTAACTCCAAGGAAAACGAGGCACCTAAAATAGATTTTCTTCGGGACATTTGGCCATAACATGAGTCGCTTGCTTTGATGAACTATTATTGATCAAATAACCTGGATTCCATAATTCTATTTTAATTTTAAATTGATATCAAACTCTTTTATCTTTTACTGCAAAGTACATCATTAGGCAACAGAGAACAATAATTTGTCTGTACACAGGCAGAGCAACACTCTAACCGTAATTGCATGAACGATTTGGAGCCAGTTCTTTGGGTATAGCTGCAAAACATACGTAATTCCCAGACAAACTTACCACCGACTGATATATTAAAACTATATATACTTCGCACTTTATTAGCTACAACTGCCTTCTTTAGCAAACAAAATTTTCTAATGATCTTGACCTGGATATAAGTAACACCTTAATTTTCGATTCTTAAACTAATATTTATGTTTATCTTAGTTAAAAAAAATATGTTATGTGAATATTTGTGTATGACATAATAAATAACTTGTTCGGATTAGATCACTTCGCACGACAGTTACTAGTATAGCGGAGAACATCTGCAGCAGAATATCTTAATTTAGACAACTATTGGATTTTTTGATTTTTTTTTTCAAATTTTTGAACATTTAATTCAGTCTTCTGTTAACTTTGTCCTTGGCCCCAACAAGGAACTCCAAACACAGATACCGGATCATTCCTTTTCTCTCCACGTTATATGATAAAAAATCTGTATGAAATGTCCAGCCCCGTAGGAAGCAATTTCAGTCTGGGGGAGGGAAGGGGGCACATGCAGCCATATATTTCCAGTTGGGGCACTATAACTACCAAAAATTCCTTGACAACCAAAAAAAAAAAGTCATCAGACGTTTTTATTGTTTATTGAGGGGGCACAAGTATATATAGTAGCTATGTTTTCTATAGTATTCTATATATCGGCAAAATTATTGAGGGGCACGAGCCCCCCCCCCCCCCCCGTGTCCCTCCCCCTGGTTCCTACGGCCATGAATGTCAGCTTTACTCTTTTTCTAACTGATCCTTCAAATGAACATGCAATACTTTCTAGTGCACTTTCACAAACTCACAGTAAATTTCTCTATATCTACAAGACAGAAAGATGAATTCCTTGTAAAAATAACACACCCCTCCCAATCCATCCACATTGTTCAACGACTGCTGTAAAAATTTAACAAATGCTAACTCTATAAAGTAATAAACCAATGCAAATGATAGAAAGTAGTCATGTGATTCAATCAGAATGGTGTTATGCTCAGATTCTAGCATTGGGCCACGGGAATCGATATGGGACTGGCTAACATGCAATTTGTAATGTTTGTTGAGGTACGAGTATGTACCCTTAGTACTTTTAACTCCTGAATTTTCCAACTTGCTCGAGTGACACAGCTTAATTATATGTATAGATAAAGTTACACCCGTATCTCGCCCTGCTCCCTATAGCTGGTCAGAACAACTTTTGGCTTCCCTTTGGCAACCCTGAACGTTTCTACACTTTTTGGCTTCCCTTTGACAACAATGTTTTTCGTTTTTTATCAAGGCATTCCTGGACAAGATTAACGCGAAGGTTTACTCTACAGGGAAACCGCCAGGGGAGAGATATAATGTTCAAAATTTATGACACTGGTACATATATGCATTGAAAGGTTCAAAGCCCTATTACCGATAGTTTAAGACCCAGCGTCTACTGCTTTATTTGGTGAGAATTGATATGCTAGGACAGTGACTTTGTTTTGCTGGTATAAGTGGTATGGCTTACATGTATGCTTAAGTTTAGAACTGAAGTCACGATATCTGAGCATTAGTTTATTTGCTGCGAACAATCAGTTACTACCATATATAACAGCAGGTTATGTGATAATAATCAAAATGCTTTGGGAGTAGAATATCACTTTTCTACTGTTTTTCACTTGACAAAATGAGTTAAAAATTCTAAAATTTTAATTTGGTTTAGCGAACGTATACACAGTTTTCGAGCATATAAAGCACAAGATTTGATCTTCGATAAAAATGACATAGTGAAAAAAAAAGGAACATAAAAGTTGGTTGACATAGTGTACAATACACGCAGTGCATACGCTAGTTGGGGATTTCCATTTTTATTGGATAAGGGGATGTTTCCATGAAAAAGTCACCTTAAAATATATGAATAGCTTATTAATGTTGATTCATAATGAGCCTATTATATAAATAGGTAAAAACAATCGTATTTTAACTTTTTGTTTAGTTTGGTTACATACTAGTATCAGACTTTGTAAAAGAATGTGTATTGATAAGCATCAGTTTTATCCGAATATCAATTTCTCTGTAAGTTACGTCCGTGGAATATCCATGTTTTGGTATGTTATGGTATTATGGGGTATAAAGACGTGTGTAATTTTCATATTTGAAAATGATCGAATTCGAACGTATTGATGGCACAGTCCTACCCTCAAAATGCAATGCTCCCTTTTTCATCGTGAATGATATTCGTATATTGAACATTGAATCGATAAAAATAGGAACAAAGATCAAAAAATTAATGAAAATTGGGTGTATATTACCAACCATTCATAAAGTAGTTACAATATTTACGCATTTTCAAGTTACATCTTCACATACTTTGTTGCGAGCAGATACTCATTTATTCAACTGATGTTCCAAAGACGGGTTTGTTTCATTAATTAATTCATTAAAAAAGGGGAATTACATCGAATCAACTATATCAACGACCCGTTGCATTAAACATTTAATACCTGCAAATAGGCCAATAATATGTCATCTGCTGGAATCTGTGTTGGCCATCGATCTGTGTTTTAGAGTACATGTCGAGATTCCCTTGTCTGCCTAGCCAGAGGGGACTTTCGTTGAATACTGATACTAAAGCAGACGTGTTGTACTCGCGGTACTCCGATCTAGAATGGCAGCCGATACGGCAGCTAGTCATGCAATGGTCTGGACTGATCATAATAGATGTCTTATGGTTTGAAGACAGAATTATTTTTTTGTCTATAATTTAGACATCAACGCTATGTTTTAGTGTAAGAAAACCACGGTAAACAATTGTCTAGTCTTACTGAATCAGTCTGTTTGTCGGAGAGGCAACGGAAATGGATCCGTGCAATTTGATTTGTACAGAAAGTTTGTTGATATATGAGAAAATCATAATTAAAAGTTACTTCTGATCAATAAGCATATAAATGGGGAAAATACAAATGAGTACTCTATAGATATGTATCAAGAAGAAATAAATTAGGTTAAGCCTAAACTGATGTCAAGTGGAACAAAGACTCCATTCTGTAATTCGATTAGAGACCCCAAAATTATTGTTCTGTTGAATTATTAGTGGTATCACAGGCCTTCGGATAGCTTAAATCGGCCGACTTAAAAAAATCGGAGTGTATAAAAAAGATATTTTTAACACCTTAATTTTTTTAAAGCGATCTAAGGGCCTGTGGGTGGTACTTGTGAATTGAAGATACATAATGATTTGCAAGTAAAAATTATCATATATTTAAAAAGTATACTCTTCAACAAATTAT